TTCACTTCCATTATAAGACTGATAGACTGCAACGGTTTGAGTTCAAAATCTTCGTTTGTGTTCTACTGAAGAAACAAAGTCCCCTACATCTTGGATGCCCTGGGGGTAAGCAGATAAACATCACATTTTCATTTTTGGGTGAACTATCCCTTTAAGCAGGTAAAAATGTGCATTATCAATGAAATTCATGCATAGCCACATAAGCTGCAATACAGTGTCTTATTCCACTAATCAAGCAATCTAAAACATGCAGTACCTGGGAAGTTTGGGAGACTTGCTCCCTCTGGAGATCTTTGGTGATTTCTTTCCAACCCAATCATCATTGAGCTCAATGTCACTAGAGTCTGAGCAATTGCAGCTGTCAATCACAGAGGGGATGAAGCTGTTGCCATAGACTTCATCTGTGATGAGAAACAATGTGAGCCGACGAGGAACTAAACCCGTGTGGCATTCTGGCCAAAACTTTGCTTGTATAACCCCACCTGCTTTCCCATCAGTCTTTGGGTCCATGATGACAAATTCAGGGCGAAGTTTGCTAATCCTACGGCCTTTCAGAATAGGCACAAGCCCCCCCAGATACTCCAGGTATAAGGTGTAGCAAGGGCCGCCGACCTCAGGGTTGTCCTCGGTGCGCTTCATGGTGCAGTGCAGACGCTCGTTACCTGATGTCGGATAACTAACAAAGTCCCGCATGTTGTTGGGATCTGGAATGGGGGGCTGAAGTGAGGAAAGGGCGCCAGAAAAAAAAGACAAAATGGAAGAATGGGAATGATGGTATGAACGTATTACACAACCAGCAGTTTCAAAAACTAGATCCAACTGCCTGTAAACTGGAAGTTTTCTACCTTAATGGTAGAAGCGAAGGCAGAGGACACGTATGTGCTCAGACGAGAGGGCATGCTGAGCTTGGCCACGTCTTTCTCTTCGTGTACCGCGCTGGCGATCACCTGTCGGCACAGCAGCTGCAGGCTAGCGACCCGGTGTTCGACACGAAGCACGTACAGCGCCGGGCCGCTAGCGAGAAACAGACGCGAGTCCCGATGGCCCCAGCACAGCGCACTGATCGGCCTCTGAACACAGATGCAGAAACCAACGGAATATCAATGAAGCAGTCCTGTACGCGTGAGATCACGTTTCATCTGTGTGAAATTGTCACATTTATCAGAGTTTTATGAGGGTAAATTTAAGACCTTTTTAAAAACCAAGAAAATGTGTCAAAATGTTGCACACAATGCGTAGTAACACTTCAAATACTGAAAATACAACTTCCAACAGATCTTTATTCATTTTTTATTCATTTTACAAAAAAACACTTAAAGGGTTAGTTCACCCAAAAATGAAAATTAGCCCATAAATTACTCACCCTCAAGTCATTCTAGGTGTATATAACTTTCTTCTTTCGACGAAATCCAGTCGGGGTTATATTAAAAATTGTCTTTGATCTTTCACCGGAGCCATGTGAGACACTTTTTTTATGGATGGGTGCTTTTTATTTAACTTCTTTTGGACTGAAGCATGCAACACCCGCTGAGTGGCATTAAACAGCTTGAAAGATCAAACAATTTTTAATATAACTCCGACTGGATTCGTCTGAAAGAAGAAAGTCTTATACACCTAGGATGACTTGAGCGTGAGTAATTTATGGACTAATTTTCATTTTTGGGTGAACTAACCCTTTAAGGTCTCATGAGCTCTGCTGCCAAACAGTGGGAATAACTTTTACTTTACCTTCTGATCACACTGAATAAAGTGAAGCTCTTCATCAGTGTTTTTGTCTTGCTTTCCGAAAGATTCTTAAAGTGCCCTGTTATTGCAGCGTGTAATGTAGCTGTATGTGAATGTAAACGATCTGCAAAGTTGTAAAGCCGAAAGTGCGTGATAAATAAAGTTATTGTCTCCCAAAAGAAAGGATCGACTCTGAACAGCCGAAAGCTGTTTCAGCATTTCATGCCATGACTTTATGAATTTAAGACTTTTTAAAGACTGTAACAAAACAGTTACAAAAACTGTTACAGTGTAACAAAAGCAAAAGAGTGCTCTGGTATTATTACGCGCGTGTGTGTGTGTGTGTGTTTATGAGCAAACGCTCACCTGAGCAGGTGTCTCCAGTGAGTAAATGTGCTCACCGCAAACATTATAAAACTTAACAATGGCGTTTCGGGTGGCTTGGGTGGGGTCAGAGGTCATCACGAGTCTCTCAGTCCCAGCAACAGCCAGCAGGTCGCCCTGAGAGCACCACTGCACCACCACATCTGATTCATACACATGCAAACCAGTGTGAAAATCAACTTCATACATAATTTCACTATCAGTAAAAAACGTTAGAGCTTAGTAATGATAATCACTCACATATTCATACATAGCATCCCTAATGATTCAGCAAATATTGATTCGTTTAGACTGTATTGGATTTCCCCACCTCTAACAGACTCATTATAGGAAATTAATTAGCATTGCAATAGACTGCGGCTGAGTACTGGACTGAGGTATCTTTCACGTCTGAACAAAAACACACAAGGCTTACATATAAACACTGATTCAGTCTAAAGTGGAAGTAAACAGAATGCGTGTAGCTCTTAAAGTGACAGCAGACTAATAGCTGCCGCTTGTCCTTAAAGGGATAGTTCACTATTCACTCACTCTCATGTTGTCCCAAACCTGTATTAATTTCTCTCTTGTGCTGAACACAAAAGAAGATATTTTGAAGAATGTGGGTCACCAAACAGCTGCTGGTCCCCATTGAAAAAAAAAAACACTATGGAAGTCACTGGGGACCAGCAGCTGTTTGGTTCCCACATTCTTCAAAATATCTTTTTTTAAGTGTTCAACAGAAGAAAGAAACTCATTCAGGTTTAAAACAGCTCGAGAGTGAGTAAATGACAGATTTTTTTATTTTTGGGTGAACTGTCCCTTTAAATGTTAATAAAACAACAAAACAGAGAAAAATCACTGGCTGCTCTTGCTTTAATACAGTTGCTTTAATAAGAATCAGTGTATAATTTATACAGTGAAGTGTATATAGTGTTTTAGTCTTATATTTGTTCATCTAAATACAGCTAAATACACCTACTGTACCTGAAAAATAAAGCACTGCTTGTTTTATTTGTATATTATGTGTATTTGTA